TTTCTCTCCCTTCTCCTCTTGAACCCTATTCTGCCATTTCACCCCTCATAATCGCATTGTACCCGCTGATGGCAACCTTATTCGCTTCTTTGTCGCTAACTAATCGATACAGAGTGTGGTGTAAAGTTGTTGCACCACAAGGGCATTAGGTTTTTCGAGTCGGACGTCGAAGAGTCAGCAGATTTGATTTCTTCCCACTCGACCGTTTACGACGCTCTTTCGCCGCTCCTTTCACTTCTACCACCCCGAAATATATAATAGCGAAGACATCTTCTTTACCCCCAATGCCTATATGACCCTGAATACCACAGCTATGGATTCAGAAGACGGAAGCTTGTTTATCAAGGTAAATACGCTGCTGCTGTGATTTACCTCTGGTGCCCCGAGATCGGCGTGCTAACTTCCAACAGCAACTTGCTGCCTTTGTGCGTAGCAACGAAAAGGCTCTCGCCAACGCCCTGCAGCTTCAGCGCCGCGATGTGCGTCACCGAGCCACACAAAGTACGAGCTCTGCCACGATCCCGCAGACTCCGACGTTTCCTGAGCGTCCCTCAACTGCAATCTCCAGCACCAGCGCCTTTGCCAACGCTCTGTCTCTGGGGCCGCTCAACTTTTCCTCTCACGGAGTGAAATCCGCGAAGCTCGCCCTCACTCCCCACCACCTGTTCTATCTGCTCTCTCGCTTCGAAGAATTGGGTATCAATGTGGGGCCCATGAAGGTTCGCTTGGAGGATCTCCACGACAGCTCATCGTCTGCAAACTACGTGTCATTTCTGAGCAACACCCAGCGGTCTAGAAGCCATAGCTCAGATGTTGGCTCCATCCACTCCGTCTCCAGCATCCGGAGCGTCATGTCTGGCATGTCCGCCTTGTGGGCCAGCTTCGGCATCGGTGCCAGCATATCTGCTGCTCGCACGGAGCGTCAAAAGGCCGCGCTGGAGGCGGACATGAAGTACTTGTATTCTGCCTTCACCAAGATCCCCTGCCTTCGCTTAGCCCCTGATTGGCGAGCTCGGCTCATCAAGGGCTACGAAGAGTTTCCCTTTGACTCTGCGGTTCCCCTCTACGTCTTCAAGAATGTCCAGGCCCTGGAAGTGAGCAACATTGACTTTCGTCAATTCTTTGGCTGGGATCGCATGGCCGACCAGCTCCGCTCGCTTACGCTCAAGCATGCCGGCATCGAAGATCCCGCCGATATTTTGATCGACATCGTCCTGGACGACATGGACAAGAGGCGTCGCAGAACGTCAAAGTCACAGCACTCGCCCTCAATACCTTGGAGCGGGAGCCATAGCCCCCGCAAGAGCCCAACCATGTCGGGTCGTGAATTTCCCCGATCGGTATCGATTCCTGGCTCTCCCGATCCACGGTCTTCCCTAGGTGAACTTCGTGTCGGCTCGATGGCTCCCAGCGAGGCTGCCGTTGAGGACGGTAACACGTCCGATGGCTCGGCCCGCACCCTGCGAAGACAATCTACGGATGACCTATCGCGTTCTCTAAACAAGGACTCTCGGCCGAGGAGCAATTCCCCGTCACGCCCATCAAGCTCTCGTAATCACACCCACATCCGATCTCAACAGAGAATGCGGCGTTCCGGATCTGGTAGTTCCAACTCTAGCCTATCCGACTCTTGGTACCATCACCACTCTAGAGGCAGTTCTGCCAACCTCTTGGGAAACACAGTCCTACCTTCATCCAAGTGGCGCTTCCTGAGGCATCTCAGTCTGGCAGATAACCCCATGACGTCGATCCCAGCATCAAGCCTGGCTCCCCTCTCCAACACCCTCTTCTCTCTCGATTTGTCATCCAATCTCTTCAGCCAAATCCCGGATAGTCTGTCTACCCTCACCGCTCTCCGCGCCCTGAACCTGTCTCATTGCATGATTGACTCTCTGCACTCCCTGACCCGAAACCCCCTCCCAGCCATTACTGCTCTCAACCTGAGAGCCAATAGACTACAATCTCTCGCCGGAATCGAGAAGCTGTATCCCTTGGAAAGGCTGGACCTTAGAGACAACCGCCTTACAGACCCCAAGGAACTTGCACGCTTGACTGGAATTCCCGAGATTCGTGAAATCTGGGTCGAGGGCAACCCTTTCGCCCGCACTCACAAGGATTACCGTGTGGTCATTTTCAACCTGTTTCGCATGACTCCAGGATACACCGAGGACATCGTCATCGATGGCTCAGGCCCCAGCTCCTCTGAAAAGCGTATTCTGGTTGACCGAGTCCCGATTCCCGAGTCTGTCCCAGTGGTGAAGCCGATCGTGACCGAGATGCGAGGCGTCGATGTAAGCAAGCCCACCGTCGTGTATAGTGCTGTCAAGGAGGCTGCCGTCCTGCGCAAGGAGAGGCCAGTACCAAAGGCCGTCGCCAGCGAAATCAACACGACTTCAACGAGGCGCCGCAGGAACACCAAACGACGCATCGTCGACCTTTCAACTAGTGACAAAAACCCAATGCCCTCGCCGGTTGATGTGCATAGCCCAAAATACCCGATCAATTCCCCAATTGCCGGCTCAATGGATGGGAGCTATAAAATTTCTCACGTATCTAAAACTCAACCGTCGACTCCGCTCTCATATCCAAAGGGCCACGAGTTTGGCAGCGGAGCCTTTTCTTTTGAGAACGCACATGCCAACGGTCCTGCCCATGCCGACCACATTTTTAGCACGAGCGATATCCAGCAGCAAGACTGGGATGCCAGCGGCGAGCTCTACCGTCGCAAAATAGAGGCCCTGCGTGATAAGGTCGGCGAGGGCTATCTGAGCGTGCTGAGCGAGGAGAGCTGGGATGCCAACAATGTTTTTGGCTCATCCAATATCCCCACCACCACCGCTGCGCTGTTGGCGGCCCATCCCGCCCATCACGCTCCTCCCATGCAAGCCATCCACGGAGGCCACTCATAAAACCCGGCTGCGTGTTCTGAGTTGAAGCCTAGTGCCCTTGACTATATACCCGTTTTACTCAATGATACCCCCCCCTCGATTCGATACCCTTTCTACGTCTTTACAATCTTGCCTACTCATCTCACTGGCACACTCCTACGTCCTTTGCTTCTCCTGCAGCTAGTTTGAAAGAGCTAAGCTACCCTTTCTGCTTCATCTTGTCTATTTATCCATCTTATTTCACCCTGTCCCTTACCACACGACAGGGCTTGATTGGTACCGCGGTTTGTCTTTTCTATTACGGAGCATAGCGGATATGGCGTCACGGCTAGGAATTGCTGTCATTGCCAGGGTTTTATTGTAAACCCTTTTCTTTTGAATTCTCGTCTTGTCTGTCTGGTTTTCTTCGGATTGGTTCTGTTCCATGATGTTCAGAGGCTGGGAGGGGATAAAAAAAGTGGCTTGACACGTTATGAACGTTGCATGAAAATTTCTGTTTTTGGCATGACTTTTTTCTTTTATTTTCTTGACTTTGCTGAGAGCAACCAGTGGCATAAGCTGGGTCTACGACCTCTTTTTTCTGTTTGGCTTGGAAACGGCGTTATGATAGGGGGAGCCGGCACTTGTGTCGTGTGTTCCCCCAAGTAGCTTCGGGTCGGCACTCCATTGCTTTGAAAGACGTGCTCGAGTTTGAGCGTCGCAAGCGTCGAGATGGTTTTGTGACAAACCGGGAATATGAGTAGTAACACTGATGAGCTGTTGACGGAAAAATGATAGAGCATGCGAGTTTCACGTTGCACCCTTAGAGTTCCTACTATTACATGTTTGTGACGATGCTTGTTCCCATTTCACATGTGAATGTCCGTGTCAGCCCATATGTACGGCATGTGCCTTGACTACTACCTTACATGATGTACTAAGGTAAGGTAAAGTGAGGTATGCGTACTTAGTCTCTACATGTAGGCAGTATGATGCAATCCATGTACGTAAGCCCGCACTAGACGCTGCAGATACGCATCCATGATGTGATATACGGTCTAAGTATTAAGAGGTCGAGTCCCAACTTTGACCTACCAAATCTGCAATGGACAATTGGCCCCTGGTTAGGTACATATACGCAATGATTTTTTTGAAGCGGCCCGCCCGACCAACAGGTGGCTTGCATGTAATGTGTAATTGACACGTTGTTATAAGACTTGGCGGAGGCTTGAAGCATCCATCCAGCTCCCGCTCCCGGATTTACCTACCATGTGATAGCACCCGCTCTCGGATTAACCGTGTGATGGCTGTCATCATTGTGCCTTGGCAATCAGGGGTCCTAGAGTGAATCTCGGCGAGTTTTTTTTTTCTCCCGCTCCCGGGATGTCGTAATGGATTGCCTGCCCATGGCGCCACCTACTTGGGGGTGGATGGATGGATTGCTGGCCTTGTACGGAGTAGCTACAGACAGCGGAATCGCGTCAATTGTATCCTTCTCCCTCTCTCGCTCTATGCTCTATGCTCTTTTCTTGATCTTTTTGCGGTCTTTTTGCGGTCTTGGTTATCTTGTGTTTACACGCTGAATCGTGTCAATATTCATATTCGCCATTTGTAGCAGCATTGCTGAACCGCGTAGATATCGCGAGAGAATATATTTGATGGACAATCGAATGCTCTCATTATGTCGCATCTCGACTCATCCACACACTTGTCTAACAATGGCGGCCCTATCCCAAATGTAGATTCAATGACCTACTTTCGGGCGACAGCCACGCCATCATCTCCAACAGTGCGGCAGAGAAGAGAGAAGAGAGACCAGGTATGGGGGCGGCCGCCCGGGCTTATGGAGAGAGCGGGGACCGGCATTTTCCTTCTGTCAAATCTAAATCGGCGGTGCCTGGATCGATGGGCGGCCACGCATCAGAAAACTCCCGATCTGTGAATGAATCAGACTAGCAGCGCTTTTCTGACGGGGCGAGGTGTGATTGGCGAGGGCTCGAGCCGGAAATCCGCCCCGGGCGTCTGGGACAATGGCCGATTGCCGGGTTTCTTCAAGGTTATTTTTTGAGTGTTTGCGGGAGGTACATACATAGATTGAAATGTGGGGGAACTGGTGGGAGAGATACGAGAATGTTATAAGAGAATGAGAGAATCTGTTGGACAAGAAGGGGCGGGAATAAATTGTGTAGGTGTGATGGATCGGAGCTCATGGCGCATTGCATGAATATTTTGTCGTTGATGATCCACACGGGCCAAAGTAGATGATCTTGAGTCAACGGACGATCTGTATTGGAGCATGCTTCTGGAAAACCGTCTAGATTGGTGGTATGAGTCGCGGTTCATACTGCAAGTCGTGGAGACTCTTGATGGTTCCATGCGACCTGAGGAAAGGACATGTGTAAATTGAACTGCTTCTTGTCGTCGCATTTCATTTATTCTTTGTCAAAACTACAGAAGAAGAAGTAAAAGAAAGAGAAATACCTTGGAAACTCGTCCCTTTAATTCATCTGCCATCTCATCCTCTTTGATTTCCGTCTTCCAGCTGGTTACAGTACTCAAGCTGGCTTTTACAGTTCAGGTAGTGCATTGGATCTCAGCCAGTTTAGCGCATGGCTTTCCCCAGGCACGCCGCTAGCCCGAAACGCACAAGGGCCCTTCTGATCTGACTAACGCAGACCAGACATTGAAAATGAAGCCATCTGGTTCGAGATTCCGCAGGTGGTCCGTGCGCACGCCTTCACGCGTTGTCTGTTTTTCGCTCGCCCCCGAATCGAGAGCCGCCAGCCGACGTCACGTCGTCCCCTGATGCTGCCTTCGTCCATCGACTGCTCGCCAACGAGGGCCTGTTTTGCCTTGCCTATGAACCCTGGCGCTTCAGCTACTGCTTCGGGGCCTTCAGAAGCCCCTCGATCCCCTCCAGCCGCTGCCCCGTCTCTTGCGCGCGCCGTCCGCCTCGAGCGACAGCCTCGCCTCGACTCGCCTCCCATCACCACCGTCGCCTTGCGCCCTGCTCTCAGTTACTGAGCCTAGCTGCCGTGAAATCGCTGCCCTGTAGTGGGCACAATGGCTCCGGCCTCTCCAACACCCCGTCGAACACCCACGGGACGCCGCAGAGGGCGTCCGCCCGGCACCACCAACGCTGCGCGTGCCCTTAGACAGGCTTCACTTGCCGCCGCTGCTGTCTCCGAACCGCCCCCCAAGAAGCGACGTCGCTACGTTCCCGGAGGCCCTGGAGGTGGTGGACGATATCTCGACGCCGACGCCATCGACACCCCTGATACAACCCGCACCATGACAGCCTCGCGATCCAGAACCTCGGCCTCTCGGATGGCCCTCAACGGCGCCTCTCCGTCTCTGCCCCCACGGCGGGAGCGGAGCACAAGAGCCAGAACCGCTGCCAACGAAGACAGCGACGAGATGCGATGGGGATCTGCCGCTGCCATGGCTGCGTCCGTGAAGCAGGCCGAGGACTATAAACCTCGAGAAGAGCGCAGCTGGGAAGAGTTCCATCCAAACCTTGATATCGACCTCCCGTTTGTCATCTTTCCTGCCGACGACGTCGACGGAATCGTCTTACAAGACGCGCCGAATACTCCCGCCATAGATGCGCCTCCACCTACCACACCACACCTAGAGTCCATGACACCGTCCAAATCCGTCAACCCCGCCTCGACAGGAAATACACCAAATCCCCAGGCAGCGCGCGGCCCAGAAGTCGACGCCGACGATTCAGCTGCTGGCACCCCATCACGACGCCCTCGCCGATCCACTCGTGAAGTCGTCAGCTTTTACAACGTTCGACCCCTTGACTTTGCTCCTACCCCTAGAACCCCCAAGATCCTCCCCATATCGAACCAGACGCCAAAGGAGCGGCTCGACCTTAAACAACCCCAATATAGAAAGACCAACCGCATCGAACTGTTCGAAAGCAAGACTTTTGGCCAGGCACGCTATGTTGACAAGGCCATGAGCAATGTTGGCTACCAAGAGAGCGACAACTTTATTCGATCCGAACGTACGCTGATCAAGGCCATTGATGGCAATGCCGATGATGAGTTTGAACAGTTTTCAGTGGCTGCGAGCGATGATCATGTGCATCAGTCTAGACTTGGTCGTGTTGAGTACGACATGGATGAGCAAGACGATATGTGGCTTGAGCAGTACAACGCCCAGCGCAAGCAAAACGAACTGGAAGCCATCACGCGCGAGGTTTTTGAAATCACCATGACCAAGATCGAAAAGGAGTGGCATGCTTTGGAACGAAGAATACCAAAGCCGAACCCTAAACCGCCACAGACGCACAGGCCGCGGTCCAGCTCGGCTGTGGCCGTTAACGGCGAGACTCACGGCGGGGAGGAACCCGACAGCAAATGCGCCATATGCGATGATGGGGATTGCGAAAATACAAACGCAATTGTTTTCTGCGATGGTTGTAACCTCGCGGTTCACCAAGAATGCTACGGTGTGCCCTTTATTCCGGAGGGCCAGTGGCTCTGTAGGAAATGTCAGCTATGTGGTCGCGGAATACCAGTAAGACTCTCTTTTTCTCCCTCTCCCTTACAATATTTGGTGCCTTCAACCTCTGACTCTTTTCCCTTTCCTAGACATGCATATTCTGCCCCAATACAGACGGCGCATTCAAGCAAACCAACTCGTCAAAATGGGCCCATCTACTCTGTGCCATGTGGATTCCTGAAGTCTCCTTAGGAAACCATACGTTCATGGAGCCCGTCATGGACGTAGAAAAGGTCCCCAAAACTAGGTGGAAGTTGACTTGTTATATCTGCCGACAGAGAATGGGCGCTTGCATTCAGTGTGGCAACAAAAATTGCTACCAAGCCTTCCACGTCACATGTGCCAGGAGAGCACGACTATTCCTCAAGATGAAGACTGTCCAGGGCACTCTTGCTGTGTTAGATGGCAGCATGGTGCTCAAGGCTTTTTGCGATAAGCATTGCCCACCGGATCATGCCCAAGAAAACCAGGTCCACCAGGCCACGCGAGCCGCCAAAAAGTTCTATAAGAGGAACATGCGTGGACGTATCTGGGCAGACAATCAAGCCATGGCGAATGTCATTGCAGCGCAACATCGCACTGCCATTACGGATCATCCGCCTGATGAGAGCCAGATGACGGGCGCTAAGAACCTGGCCATCCTGGGTGACAAGAAGAAAGGACAGCCTCCTAAAAACCTTTGGAAGCTGCCATCTGGAGCACCCATCATACCCCAGGTTGTCTTTGACATTGTCGAGGCATCTATTCAGCGGTTCACGTTTAGGAAGCGCAAGGACTTCCTCAGCGAAGCTTGCCGCTATTGGACCCTGAAGAGAGAGGCACGTAGGGGTGCCGCGCTCCTCAAGCGCTTGCAGCTGCAGATGGAGTCGTTCTCTTCCATGGAGCTGACAAGGCGCAACTTTGCCGCCATGGGCCCCAGCGGCAAGGCGAGACTGGCTCGCCGCATCGAGTTTGCCCAGGGCATCATTCACGAGCTCGAGCAGCTCAAGGTTCTCGCCGTCGACATTGTGCAGCGTGAAAAGCTCAAGTTGGATGCTGCCGAGCTCGAGCAGGACTTTGTAGACGAGTGCTACTTTCCTACTGCCAAGTTACTGGTTCCTGCTGTAGAGAAGGCCATTTCGTAAGTTTCTCTTCTTTTCTTTCTTTGTTTTGATATACGGACCAGACTACGGCGTTGCATGGGCTTTACTAACTGGCTGTGGACAGGCTGGATAAGGGTCTCTTCACGGATGGCTTGGCCGATTTACAGGCAAGCATTGAGAAGCGGGTGTATGTCAACACCTTGAGCTTTGCACAAGACCTCGGCGATATCATCAGCAAGGGAATCTTGACTCCTCCTGAGCTCTCAGAATCCATTAATCGTGAAATGGAGGAGGATGAAGCGGATAACAACAGCACCAATAACTCTATTATAACATCAACATTTTCAGACATACGAGAGCGGCGGAAGCTCGGAAAGCGAATTCTCAAGGCTGTGCAGCCGCTGCTTGAAATGTCGCTGCAGGTTGAAGCCGAAATATCTACAAAGCCGGCTGAAGCGCTGCAGAGAGAGTTAGAGACCCTTATTGATGCCAGCATCGAAGTAGGTCGACAACCCAACGCAGCAGCACATAACGAGGCAGATACGGCAGCTGAAGATACCATTATGATCGACGCTCCTGAGCCGTCATCTGAAGTCCTCCCTACCATTAAGAGTGAGCCTCTAGCAGGCGGGAGTGGCATTGTCTCCGACAACGGCGACGTAATGGACACTGCTGAGAATGATGAAGAAGATGATGATGAAGACGACGATGAAGATGAAAACGATCGCCATGAAGAGGAAGAAGGTGACAGCATCGAGGTTAATACCGTCGGGTTGGGCATCATGACCAGCCGCACCTCAGGGGGCCTTGGTATCACGACGGAGATGAACATTAAATCGGCGAGAGTCAACGCTGCCATCGCATCCGAAACCCCTCCTAACAGCACGAGCAGCTACGTTGTCATAACTCGCCCATCACAAGATGGGCCACCAACCCCACCGCAGAGTAACGGAAGCCTGGGTAATGAACCAGCCGATCCTCTCTCGGAAGGGGGTATCCTTTGGTACCTTAGGGCGCTTGAGCCATACGGAACGTCCATCCTTGAGGAGCACTGGGCAGCCGGCCGAGATGCAGTGCGGACGCTCAGCGAAGAGCTGACGGATTTCGATGACGAGGACTTTAAGGACCTTGACGATGCCGTGACAGCCGCGGCGATGGATACGGAAGAGCCGAGAGATGCGTCGAGCGCCGGCAGCACCAAGAACAAGACGGCGAGTAGACTACCAAAGAAACGAAGACCGACTAGACGGCGATAAGGCGAGGAATTTGGGAGTGATTTAAGCCAAGAGGTAAATTGGGATGGGCAAGATGTGCTTTCTATGCGAAATTGCTACGGGATTGTTTTTACGTCCTGATGTTTTTGTTTTGCAGCTGAGCGCTTTTACGACGAAAGCATCGGTATATAAGGCTCTGGCGTTGGGAGGACAGCAGCATTGCTTTTTTTATTGTTTCTTTTCTTTCCTATTGATACACCCAGTAATCCGGCCTCTTTTGTTTGACCGTCTCTTTTCTTTTCTTTTTCTTTTTTTTTTTTTACCACTCTTCTTTTCTTCTTCTTCTCATCCTGTCCTTTTATCCACGTCTTTTCTCTGTTTTTTTAATTTCCTTGGGGGGGAACGAAAGGGCGACTTGACTTGCCATGGGCCGGGAACGGGTAACGAATGCCCTGGATCAATGATAATCGGGCGGACAAAGGTGCAACTTTTATGTGTAGGATTAACGTATTCAATGGATCTGATACAAATGTGTATACTCTGGCATCCTCAATGAGATGATTTGTCTGTTTGTTCTACAGAGTATGTTGGAGCGGCCATTTCCTGCTTTGGAAGCTTTGACATCAAAATGAGGCGAGGCTGCGCGAGGCGCTGATAGGACGGCAAAGTACCAGCACAGGATTTTGACGGAGTTTCATCCGTCTGTAGCCAAGCTAAAGCCTCTGCGGGGTGGCGGGGTTGACAGCAGCGTGTACCTCGTACTTGCTTGTTACTGTAGAATCTCCATGGATGGCAAAAGTTAAAGGTACATATGCGATTGTAGGAAATTTAACGTTTTTAGGCTGGGGTTCTATTTTTGCGGCTGACTGTCACTTTCCACAAGGGCTTTTATGGTTTAGGCATGGGCTGATGGGAAAGAAAAACACAACCTTGGAAAGAAAAGCTCGCAGCCGTGTCTACTTTAGTGGGCAAATACAGTGAGAACTTAGTACTACTAGCTACATAGGCTTGCCGTCTCCGTGCGCTGCGGACGGGCCAAGACGGGGGAACTCCAGATGGGAAGAAAATAGGAAACGAGGCGGAATTGCGGGACACACCGAACGACGATTCTATTGGAGAATCCCAAGTTTCGAGTGTGCTCCAGTGACTTTTCTTTTTCAGATGGGGTGGGAGGATGGCCGAGGGAGGGGAGGGGGGAAAATAAGTGTGAGAGAGACGAGAAAAAAGGCGATGCGGAGACCCGGTCCCCCGGTGCCGGACTCGTCAGCAGTGTGATGAGGCGAGAAGCTAGAAAAGGAAAAGCAGGGAGGAGCCCGTTTTGCGCGAGCATCTGATATGAGGCGACTTGGTTTCGAAAATCAGCGGCAGCAGGGGGTGAGGAATCGACGCATCATAAAATATGGATGTGTGTGTGCTTTGTTTTTGTGGGTGGTATCTGGATTGAGGGCATCCCTCGGATGATGATGTTGTTTTGATGTCTTTTTTTTCTGTTTCGATTCTTTTCTCTGCCCCTGTTTTTTTTTTTTTTTCTCAAAGCGAGACGCCTTCGATGCGATACGAACAAAGAGGTGCGTTTAGGTTGGTACATAGAAAGAGGCGGGTTCCGGGCCAGGCTCTAGACTGTCCAATGGACGAGCAGGAAAAAGGGCGCGGAGCTAGTTGAAAAGACGACGCTGGGCATAACCAATAAATAAATAGAACAAATAAATCGGCAAAAAGGGGGTGATGTGCTAGTAGGTTGTAGAAGGCAAAAACAAGAGATCCGAAAATTCTTGGTTCTGGCTGTGATTCGTGGTTTGTGAGCCGCGCTGTGAATAACCTGTTTAGAGAAGAGAGGGGTGAACAGGAACCAAGGCAAGCTGGGACAAAAAAAGGGCCAATTCGCCCCGTTAGCCTCGATTTGGACATATGCTGGATGCCCACCAGCTTTTCAAGGTGTCTGCAGAGGGGCAGTGCCGAATCCGGCTGGGATTTTGACGGGCGCCGCGTTTTCTCGTGTGTTGCGGATATCGTCCGGTTTGATACAGTACGAGTAGGTGTACACGTAGGACTCGACTCGGGCAGGCAGAGAGCAGGTTAAGGTAGTGGGCATGTATCGTTTGAAGCTGGTTGCTGCTGTAAGGTACCTGCTAAGCACCGGGTGCTTGCTTGTACGAGTCATCGTGACAGGGCAGCTATCATAGAAGTCAAAGCGTCCGTCTATCCGCAGGTTCCAGCTTCCGAGTTTAGTCTTTCAATTTTATTTCTTATTTCTCTTCTATTTTTTTTTTTTTTCTCTCACGACAGCTTACCTGACCTGGCTGGACCTGGATGGAACCTGGCCCGGCCCTGGAGGGAAAACTAAGTTCGGCGAGGAGGGGGCCGCTAGCAGGCCGCTTCAGAGCCTGGACACGGGCGTTTTTCTTGGGGGGGTCCCTGGCGGGTGCATTCCATTCATCTCCTGAGTGAAGATTGCACGGATGGGATATGATTCGGGTATGTTGGGTTTTTGTCTGGGGATTGACGTGCGGTGTTTGTACATAACTTGTGGCACGTGGGATTGCGTTTGGGATTGATATTTCGCGTGCATCAGTGTCGTGCAAAGATGGACAGATAGCAGCAGATAGTGATTGATGGGCAGGTCGCACAGAAACTACCTGACCCAAGGTTGACGGAATCATTCATGGCCTTATCAATTGACGCCCACTGCCAGCTGTAGCTTGTTCGAGGCGATGGATGCGCTGTATTACAGGCCATGGCGCCCCGTCGCTGGCGGAGGCCACCCTGCCTGCACTGCAAGCGCCGCCCCAGGCCAGCACCAGCACAAAACCTGAACCCACTCTTCCCTTCTTTTTCGCCTGGCCAGGAAAAAAAAAGGCTTGCCTCTTCTCTTTCTCTCTCCCACCACACAAAAGCGAACCCCGTCAAAGCCTCTCTTTTGACGATCTCCGCAAGAAGACGACCTCTTTTTGCCCAACGACGACCGACGATAGCCATCATCGTCCATCGATCCAGCATCGATCCCACGGCAACGCAACGGCTGCCCGTTTGACGGGACTTTCCAGACGCGACGACTTCGGGCTGATTGTTTGGCTGCGCCCACAGCAACAAAGGACGCTGAGAGCAGACGAAGGCACACGAACTGCCCCCCCGCGAGGCCATCCCCATAACTAGAATTCCCCCCCCAGCGACGAGCCCTTTTCGAGGCCACCCCAAACGGCGACGAGCAGCTGCATCAACCCTTCAGCGGCTTTATTTCATTTCGTTTATTTTACGCCCATCCAGAGAGCAGAAGCCCATCGCGCGTTCAGAACCCTGTTTCTCATCCGCTGCGCCCTCTCTTAGTCTCTTTTTTTCCCTCTCGCGTTGGTCTCTGAAGCCATTTGCCGCATAGCTGTGAGTTTTTTCGCCCTTTTTCCCCCCCACCTGGCGATGGCGCGCTTCTCGTTCTACTCTTCGGCACCGAAAGGCAACCATCCTGCCGGCGATTGTCCGCTCCACCTCATTTTTGGCGAGAGAAGGAGAGACGGAGAGGGAAAGGGGCGGCGTGATGGAATCACCATAACGGCAATCGTCTTTGGATGGGCCAGATTGGGATCGCTCCTGTCATCGGGATGTTGGTCTGACTCTCATCACGCCCTTTTTTCTCCCCCTCTTACTCTTCGTTGCTCGAGTTGGGAGGCAACAAATTCCCCTCGATGACTAAACCCAAGCCATTGATGGTTCTCGTCTATTCTTCTTCTAACGCTCGATGGCAGGATTATCTCTCAATTATCAAAGTGCATATTGTCTAGTGTATCATCATCTGTCGTACTGCTTTTTTTTCCTTCTCGAGGGGCCGCATCATTTTGCGCATCGGCCTGCTTCTTAGCACGCCTCCCTTCTCTTCTCCCGCGATTTCTTTAACGCGCAGCCTCTCTCGGCTTATTAATTCGATATAAACGAACCATCTCTCCCACGGGGAGCATCTATAAGATGGCTGACCAACACGAGGTCGATCTCGATTCTATAATTGACCGGCTGCTCGAGGTCCGAGGTAGCCGGCCTGGAAAGCAGGTCCAGCTTCTCGAGACTGAGATTCGCTTCCTCTGCACTAAGGCTCGCGAGATTTTCATTTCTCAGCCCATCCTCCTCGAGCTCGAGGCTCCCATCAAGGTAGGATAAAGCTGCCGTCACACCTACCCCCTTTGTCAGGGAGGAATGCCGGTGCAGTAGTGGTGCTGACTCGATGCTTGGCAGATTTGCGGTGATATTCACGGCCAATACTATGATCTTCTGCGTCTGTTTGAGTATGGCGGCTTCCCCCCTGAAGCCAACTACCTCTTCCTAGGTGACTACGTCGACCGTGGCAAGCAGTCTCTCGAGACCATCTGCCTTCTCCTCGCCTACAAGATCAAGTATCCCGAGAACTTCTTCATTCTCCGTGGCAACCACGAGTGCGCCTCCATCAACCGTATCTACGGCTTCTACGATGAGTGCAAGCGACGCTACAACATTAAGCTTTGGAAGACATTTACCGATTGCTTCAACTGCTTACCCATTGCCGCCATCATTGACGAGAAGATCTTCACCATGCACGGAGGTCTCAGCCCCGATCTGAACTCGATGGAGCAGATTCGTCGCGTCATGCGCCCCACTGATGTACGTGCCTCCTCTCTCTCGATAGCCTTCTACCCACAGAAGAATCCGGCTTCGTTCTTCTGTTGTCTTTCAAATCTGCTCCATCCGCTCCAACCAAGAGCAGCTCATGCTCTAACTTGCTGGGACCGTCCGCTAACATGTCCATGCTCTTAGATCCCTGATTGTGGACTGCTGTGTGATCTTCTGTGGTCCGACCCCGACAAGGACATTACCGGCTGGAGCGAAAACGACCGTGGTGTGTCCTTCACCTTTGGTCCGGACGTGGTGTCTCGTTTCCTACAGAAGCACGACATGGACCTCATCTGCCGTGCCCACCAGGTCGTCGAAGATGGCTACGAATTCTTCTCCAAGCGTCAACTCGTCACGCTGTTTAGTGCACCCAACTACTGTGGCGAGTTCGACAATGCAGGTGCCATGATGAGCGTGGACGAGAGCTTGCTCTGCTCATTCCAGGTTTGTGCAATCTACCCAAAGGCCTTCCAAGCAACCCTACGGCTGGGAGAGTCTTTTTTATTTCTTTCTGCAGACCTCGGCTAACCTTTTTTCCCCTTGATAGATTCTCAAGCCTGCTGAGAAGAAACAAAAGTTCGGACGGCGTTAGATCATCGGGATGACCTTGTTCGGTCTCTCGACTGAGCACGATCCATCTCGACGACTTGACACTGCCGACTTTTCTTTTTGACTCTCCGACTCTCTTCATACTCTGCAACCTCTTACGTCGCACCGTCGCTGGGCCCTGGTGGCGAGAACGGGTTGCCTGGAGAACTACACGCCGAGCCCTTCCTGCATTAATGTACCGACTCGGCGGTTAGCTCGCATCGCCTCTAATGTCCCAACATGCAAACTTCGTCACGACAAATGGCTGTTTCTTAGCTTCACAGATCAAATCATTCACAGAAAAAAAATACATCATGATGTCACTTTAAACTTTTGAAACTTTTGCTGTCCCAACACGTTTGGGCAGAGCTTCTCTTGACGTGCTGAGTGAATGACATGACGTAGTCGTACTCTAGGCTGTAATTGATGGATATGCCTGCTGTGTAACCTGTGCTCTGATCCATGCGGCTTTGAAGGAACGGGGTGGTTCGTATTCATGCTTCTTGTATCCTATGCCACGAGATCCTCTGCCACGAGAGTGGCTGAACGCACGGGTCCTTGGCAGAGCCCGAACTGACAAGGCAGTGAATAAAGTGTATCTGACGTGTTTCGTATTACGAGGGCTTCCAGAAGAAAACTAGAAGGTGACAATGCTACGTCAGTTCTCGATTCCGGTGTTACTTGTTACTCTGGTATCTTGTTCATCCAGATTGTCTCTCTCCACGCAGCGTTTTGCTTTTGATATCATACATGAGTTCTTTTTCCATGTCTCCGAATCACTCCCGTCCTTGGCTATTCCCTCCTTTAAGTACAGTCTTCGCATAAAATGGTTGACGAGGTTTGATTCTGGTCCTGCTCTTGTTTCGCTGGCTGTTCGGTAACGGGAGCAGCAGTCTCCTCCACTGGAGCTGTCTCTGTGACCGAAGCAGCTGGAGCAGCAGCGCGATGATTCCGGTCGACGTGGCCCAGGTCTCGAGACGGGTCGATGACGTCCCTGACACGGCGCTTGAGTTCTTTTGTTTCGGGGAAGCCGCCGTCTGTTTTGCGGTCCCATAGGGTTGTGGACTGGACGGATGGAGGGGATGATGAAGAGCTTGATGAGGAGGAGGATGCTGGGGAGAGGTGGTGGATGGTGACGATGAAAGTTCCGCCCGTGGAGGGCTGGAGGGCGACTTCGCCTAGGGAGAGGGAGAATGTGGAGAGGAGTTCTTGGGCGAACTGTTGTGAGTTGGTTAGTTTGCTGTGATAGGATTGTTCTTTTGAGGATGGAGTGAGGGGATGGTGAGTAGGTGAGAGGAGTAGAACGAGTGAAGGAGTGAGTGAGTGGTTGATGGAGTAGTTTTCAAAGAAGAAGTGATGAGGAACAAGGATGAAGAAGACGTACATAGGCAGCTCGCAGCATCCATTTACACTGAGTGCAGAACTGGATGGTTATGCGTGGCAGGGGAGCCGTGACGGCGGCATGTTGCAGCGGCTGGGATGATGTGGATGATGATGCAGCCATTGGTGCTGTTGCTGTTTTTATTCTTCCTTTTCAAAAGAGCAGATGTAAATCTAATTGTAAGTAGCAAATGAAGAGATATTTCCCGTAGTGAATTTCAGCGTTCTTGACGGTTGTATGAGGCGAATGATGATAAACGGAATATTGCTAGTAAGCTACGGAGGTCCGGGTTCGGGATGGCTATTGTAATGCTTTATGTGGAGATTGTATTTGGTGCTGCTGATTACTACTAATGAATTGAGCGACTTTTTCTCTATGCTCATCATGAGCAAATATCATTTGAAGGTGTCGTAAATTGTTCTTCTCTTTTGATTCCCTTCCGCAGCAGAGTAAAAATATATGTGAAATCTACATGATATTGAATCCCATATTGGACAACCACATGTGATGCTACATTGAGACTGGCGGGTTCTCCTCTTCATGACCTCACGTGCACAGACATACCAATGCAAAAAACACCACACAATAGCAGTACCAACAACTCCGGCTTACTCTTCCAGTATCAATAAAAATACACTCTTGTCAATGTGACAATTTAACGCGTCTTTTGTCAAATATCCTGCTTGATGTATTTCATATGGAATTGCCGCATTTCGGTGCGTAGAGACCAGTTATCACGCGCGTGTATACTGTAAGGGTACACGTACAGGGTATCACGACAAGGCACTTAACGAGTTTTTTTTTTTCCATCACATCTCCATATCAATTCAGAAACCGGCCGTCAAGTTATCTACACCCGCACAACAGGCGGCACTATACACCTAACACCCCAGCAGTTCTCCGATAATCCAGCTTCACAAAAACACCATCCACGCGCAAAAGACCTCTCCCTCATCACCCGCACCCGTATCCCACCACATCCCCTCATCCTCAATGCATGGGTAATAAACAGAGTCAGCGTAGAATGAGAGAGAAAGAAGAAAAAAGGCATATAGGGGAGCCACTCGATTGAACAGAAAAGGACAATAGAGAAATCGGGAATTAATACATGCTAAAAGAGGCCGGCTTCCCCCAAGAAGACCGTAGACCCCTTTATCTGGATATCTCTCTTTCCTCCCCCATCCCATCCTGCCTAGAAGAAACCGCTCGACTGCTTTATTAAAAAGTAAGAGAGAGCTGAAATAAGTAGTAAAAAAAATAAAACTCGTTGAGAAAAGCGAGCGTGGGGGCTTTCCTCGGTCACAGACAACCTTTTGCTTCCTCATCCCCCAATCGCCTCCTCCCCTTCCCCAGCATTGATATAATCATTTGAGACTGCGTCGATCCAGCTCAGAGTCCCGTTCTAGTTTCTCGTAAAAGGCTTTCCGGACCAGGTGTTTATTGTTTGAATGGTGTGTCGGCGTGACGAATTCGTCGCTCGCTGTCTGATTCCAGCTGCGTGGCGTTGTAAAATAAAGAGAGAGAGAGAGAGAGAGAAAAATAAAACCCATATCGCACACAAGGGGAAAAAGAAAAAAGGTCCCGCGCCAAGAATTCCTCCCAACTAAGTCATCATCGATTGGTCGTTCCTCCACGTCCTGGGAAACAGAATTACATGACGACACAGCAGCCGCCGGATTGCTGGGGTGCGTAGGGATCCTCGCCCTTTGGTACGGTTCCCCATACTGAAGGAACCATGTAGTCTCTCGTACCATTGCAGTAGGCAATGATGCTGCAGCCGTCGCGTTAGCCTCGTGTCCCCTGTCCGGCAGTGGCTGTGGGTGCGTCTTTTAGCTCTTACCTCTTGGAAGCGGTGCTGACGGGAATGCGTTCCCGGTCCAAATCCTCGCGTAGTCTGTTGTTGAGCTCCGTTAAGCGCCTAAGCTTGAGGTCTGCCATTGACTGCTTCGTCTTCTTAATCTGGGTCGGGTCGCCGACATCACGGGAGGTGTACTGAGGCATCGTAACGGTACGTTAAAATAAAGGAATGACTATAGAGTTGGATTTGACCGGGGTCGGGGTGGTGAGAGTGATTGAATGGCTCGCACTCGTCAGCCGGGACGATGGATTGTGTTGACGGAGTTGTTGCGAGAACTGCCTGCAGCTGCCTGGTTAGCCTCAATTTCATCTAGGCAACATCACCAATCGGTTGCTTCGGTGGATTCGCGACGCTAAATGGAACAAAGAATTGCAGAAAATCAATCAGAGACGATGGAAAAGGCCCGTCTGCTCTGCTGCCGTCACGTTGGCGCGACGGTGATGACGGCTCGGGAGACGCAGTGCAACGAATGGAAACAAGACTGAAACCGCGAGACGATGCAGGAGTCGGCAACAGCGGCGAGCGAGAATTCGCCTCTCCTCAGTTGGCTCGCGACCGACTGCTGGTGATGGAGGAGACGAGAGAAAAAACAATGCCAGCCTCTCGTCATTCCCCCTTTTCGCTCATGCCGATGCACTCGTGCCTGTGCAATTGAATCTGTCGCGATGCCATCGAAACGTCGTGTCTGCCAGAGCTTGGGACGCCTCCTCTTTCTTGCCTCCCCCCTAGACCGTATCGCGCAATGCACCAAAGAAGAAACGACGAGGAGAAAAAAAAAAAGACGATGACTTACCAACCGTCGTAGAAACCCTCAATTATCGGTCGCGAGAAACAGCGACGACACACTTGCTCCAATATGGGGGTTGAGAGGAAGAGGAGGGGGTTTGGTCGCGAAGGCGAGACGTGCGTTACGTGAATGTGTGTGTGAGTGAGAAAATGAGAGAGAGGCCCAAGAGAGTGAAAGAGCGGGTTGGAAAGCCTGGAGAAGAGAGTTGGAAGAATCCGCCACACACCAGACGAGATTGGATTGACCCAAGCAAGTCTCAAGCCAAGCAGCTTCTGGGCGGCGGGCTGCTGCCGGCGGATAATTAGCAGTGGGAACTGCTGTAACTGGCCGCCGTTGCTGCTCCTGTAGGGGGCTAGATTCAATATGCTGGGGGGCTTCTTGGCTGGGGGCTGTTTTTTTTTCTCTCTAGTTCTGGCTGTACTTGGCGGGAGCCCGGGTGGGACGTGCGCCGGTGCTGGAAATTGGACATGACCAGGGGGGGGGGGGGGGGGTACTTTGGGGGCTCGGGCAATCAGGCTCAAGGCGCACCACAAAGCGCGGATTTGCTCCAGGATTTCCCATGGCGCGGTGGGTGCTTTGCTTCATGTAACGTGCGAGTGACCTGCCGCCTGGCTGCAGCCATGTACCCCTTACCGTAGGTACGAGCACTAGCTGGCTTAGCACAGCGTTAGCACCCCGTTACGACGTGCGCTACTGCACTGCTGCACTTGCCGGGCCTTTTAGTGCTGCATTATGGATGTACCCAGGCAGTAATATTTGATTGCTGCTCGATGGATGATTTGGAGTTGAAGTGCCCGTGCTGAGAGGTACCTGGGGTTTGCGAGTACTCGTACCTTACTTTGAGTGCGCACTGACAGAACTCTACTTTGAGGAAGAGAGAAAGAGACAGAATTCAATGTCATCAATCACGCGTGGCAGAGTGTCAGTAGGATCTATCCGTACAACTACATCGAGATTCATGGATGGAAACGATTCATCGTGTGACAGTTTTCTCCTCTACCTGACACCGAGAATCCTTCACCACACAAGTACCTCTCCTCACTCATGAAAAACAGTACAAATCATTCTTTCTTCGCCGAGGTACAGTACCTTGCTTGCCAACACAAAACAAAGGAGGTCCTTTTCTTTCCCTTTCTCCTCCCAGTCCGCATCAAGCTTAGACCACGTCCGGCCTAGCCTCACTGCCATTTCCGGCCTCCAAGCCAGCCAGAGAGGATCCATCAACCCTGCTGCTGGTACTGATTTAATGGGAACCAAATCTTACAGGTACATGCAGCTCCAGATACGAAGTACATGTACTGACCCTCCACCGCAACGTCCATGCGCGGGTGCGACGCATCGCGTCAGCAATTCGACAGCGGAATCAATCTCAGAGAACCTGCTGGCGTGACAATTGTCGAGCGGTGCCGTACAGTAGGACGATTTGCTTGAGGGACGATACTAAGTACTTATTTCCCACAGACCCGGAAACGGAAGATGCGATCGCCGTCACGTCATTCCATCAGGTACGGTACGGGGGCACGGGGCCTCGCTACCAACCTGTTCCTGTTCCTGTACGAACGAGTACTTTGAACAACGCGCACCCATGAAATGCAACTCCGTACTGTGCATGTACCCTCAGTTCCCCGAGGCCTTTGCTTTAAATTACACGTACGATGCGATGCTGGCATTACCTCATCTTGTCTCTCCATTACCTGCCACTACCGGTGGTCTTTCTTCAGCTGCCGCTACGGAATGTTCGGTACCATTGCGTCCAAGTCATGTGTCTGTAGGTAGTTTGTATTTCTCTCACCCACGAGTGTCTGAACAAGGATATGCCTTGTCAGATGAATCCTCAATCTTGTCTTGTCAGAGGCATTTCAAATCCAACTGCACTGCACCGCTGCGCCAACTTGGCCAAGACTGTACCAATGATAAACCGGATTATCCTCGCTGTTTGTCTGCCATGTTGATGCGCCAGATCCACAATCCCATCTCTCAGCTCCGATACTGCAAGGCATACTGCGAGCGCACAGTCATGACCACGGACGTATGACTGCATGTACCATGTTTACGACAAGCATGATGGCGGGCGTATCGGTCGGCATGCAATGATACCTCGACTGGTAGTTTTGCCAAGAACCAAGAACACAGCATAGTAGTAGGTGGTTCGTCTTCCCATATGTGTCGTCATCTGGTATTCGTCAGTAAATGGATCAGAATATACGCGGAAGTTCTACGTACGAGAGTAAGAGCAGATGTGGTTGTGTGGTATTTTAATATGGAGCATATGGATTGTAATAAAGTTGCACTTATGAAAGAGAAAGGAGGCGCCAAAACATCTTGCTCAATCGCCAGTGTCAACCTCGAGATCCAGCTGAACTCCATTCGAAATGCCATAGTCCTCCAACGTGATGTGATCCTTGAAAGGCCGTTCGCCCTGCCGTCTCAGCATAATCTGTCCCGCCTCTCGTCCAATGCGCGCCGCAATCATGAGCTTGAACTGCCCGACCGTGTCCGAAGGCAAGCATGGAATGGCTGATTTGGTGCCCAGGCGGTCGTTGATATGAACAATGATAAACTCTTGTCCAGCTCCAGCGGGAGCTTTGGGCACTTTGGTTTCTTTCTTTTCCTTCTTGTCGTCTCTCTTCACCTTGTCGCCCGTGTCTTTTGGTCCAGAACCGTGTCGTCGAGGGGATCGCGATCTTGGGCGGCCCTCGTATCGGTCACGACCACCACGATCTCGCGAGCGATCGCGGTAATCACGTCGTCGATCTCCATAATCGCGGTCACGGCCTCGGTCACGTTCTCTTTCTCGATCCCGGTCTCGGTCTCCATATCGGTCTCTTCTCGAATCATAGCTGCCGCGGTTGTCGTCGCTTGGGCGGCTTTTATCTTTCCACCGAAACCCACCACTGCCTTTTGGTGCCCTCCGCGGAGGTGATCGCGATCGCGATCTTCGCGAAGAAGATTCCATGGCTGGTGCTGGTGTTTGAACACAGATTTTGCAGGCACCTGTTGCTGTAGAAGGGTAGAGTAGCTATCTAGAGGGGCCCTTCGGTAAAGGATCGGGTAATAATGGAGCTTCCTCATAAGATGCCAGGACTTTCACAACGCAAGAGAAGAGATGTTTTTGCAACCATCTTGCTGATGTACTGCAGCTCTGTATAGATTAAAAGCTGTATTTATCTTTGTGGCCGTTCTATAAGGGGGCAACCTCTTCTTATAGAATCTGGTTCGAGCTAGAAGCCTACAGATAGGTGGCTTGAACAATCCCTGTCTACGCCTGTAAACCTACAATAGCTAACTTGGCACTACACTGAGTCTGTTTGGAGAGATATCGCACGAGTAACGGGGAATGGAAAACACAAAATCCTGCCTCATCGCCTCCAAAGAGACATAATTATATACACTTTTACGAGTGCATCTTTCCGTAAAGCACCTTGTTTGCATCCATCGCGGTCATGTGACTTTGCGCGCGGGTAGTTAGCAGTCTAGCAAATCCGCGGCCGCTAAAGGGCCATGAACCAAGAGCAGCGCTAGCGGATTTGCACAGTCAGGATGGCGCAAATTAAGCAACCACTCCGTGCCAGCAGTCCAGCATACGGAGTAGCATCTCACGAGTTGCCCAATCTTCTTGGTTCTGGAACAAGCCATGCTGGGGCTATTGGCCTCCCGCGGATTCGGGTCCGGGAAATGATTGAGCCAAGGGTCTTGTTCATCACTTGCAGTTCTGGATCAATCGGAGGCATCGATCTCGTGACTAGAAGCCCATTGTGGATTGTCCCAGCAAACCGACGCTTACATACATACACGGGAGATGAATCACTACTAGGCCAATGTTTGGGCAACACATAAAGCACCCCCATATCGTGTACCGAGTTGCAAAAGTGCACAACAGCTGCCATCTCTACCTACAGCACACCGTATCTGTTCTTTTTATTTTTTATTTTGAAATAAACGGCATGGCTGGTACTTAAGCTTCACGGCCAGCAGCCAGATGGCTCAGCAAGCTCAGTTCAAAGCAAAAGATGCATGACATAATCAGGCACGTGACATGGGTCGTTCCGCAGCCCCTCATGCTCGGATAGCGTCCACACACGAAATTGAAAAATTCCTCCCCGAGTGCGTCGCTTCACCACCAAGAGTGCCACGCCAGCGCCCCATCTCAACCATCCTCAGGCCTGCGACGGCTACTCATTGCCCCCGAATCTCCTTGTCCGGCTCACGTCGATCCGTGAAGGAGGTTGCCCAGCATGGTACGTACGACAGGCCCCGATGCGACTGACCGTCTCGTTGCCAGCCGCTACCCCTCCCCCATACACCTACAATTGATGGATTCATATTGGGCCGTGATGCTGACCTTGCTTCCTTTCTCCAGCCGCCCCCGCCGCATCAAAAGCCCGAAAATGTCCTGAAGCGCGCCCACGAGCTCATCGGGGTCAACCAGGCCCCGACGGCCTTGACCCTGCTCCATGAACACATCACCAACAAGCGCTCCCGAAGCGCCGCCATCGCTTCTCTGGAGCCTGTTATGCTCCTGTTGGTTGAGCTCTCCGTCGAGCAGAAGAAGGGAAAGCTGGCCAAGGATGCCTTGTATCAGTACAAGAACTTGTCCCAGAACACCAACATATCGACCATTGAGGTAGGTCCAATACCGGCGTTGAATCAAGAAAAGGGGATGAAAGAAAAAAAAGAAATCAAACGCAGTTGGATGGATTACTGACCCGCCCCACAGTTGGTCTTGAAAAAGTTCATCGAACTCGCCGTGGAGAAGGTTACCGCTGCCCAGGCAAAGGCCGACGAAGTTCAGTCTACCATCGAAGCCACCGCTGCCACCTCCAGCATCGACGATTTGGAAGCCAGCGAGACCCCTGAGTCCATCCTCCTCGCCACCGTCTCTGGAGAGCAGTCCCGTGACCGAACTGACCGAGCCATCGTCACTCCTTGGCTCAAGTTCCTCTGGGAGGCGTACCGAACCGTCCTCGATATCCTCCGCAACAATGCTCGTCTCGAGGTCCTTTACCAGAGCACTGCCATGCAGGCCTTCGACTTCTGTCTCAAGTACACCCGAAAGACCGAGTTCCGAAGACTTTGCGAGCTTCTCCGAAACCATGTCCAGACCGCCGCCAAGTACTCGTCTCAGATGCACGCCATCAACCTGAGCGACCCAGACACCCTGCAGCGTCATCTCGAGACTCGCTTCCAGCAGCTCAACGTTGCCGTCGAGCTGGAACTGTGGCAGGAGGCTTTCCGAAGTGTTGAGGACATCCACACTCTGCTGAACCTCAGCAAGCGCCCTCCCAAGAACATCATGATGGCCAACTACTACGAGAAGCTCACCCGAATTTTCCTTGTTGGCGAGAACTACCTCTTCCACGCCGCAGCTTGGTCAAGATATTACACCCTGCTCCGCCAGGTCTCGGCCTTGGTCGCTTCTGGCCAGGGCAAGAAGGCTGACAACCCCCCGGCCTCTGATGCCGATCTCCAGAGGGCTGCTTCTTTTGTCCTCTTGTCCGCCCTCGCCATCCCCGTCATCAGCACCTCCCGATCCCGAGGTGCCATGGTCGACTTCGATGAGGCTCGCAAGAACAAGAACACTCGCCTGACCACCCTGCTCGGCATGAGCCAGGCCCCCTCTCGTTCTCGTTTGTTCCGCGATGCTCTGTCCAAATCCATCATTCAGCGATCCCTCCCTGAAATCCGGGATCTCTACAACATCCTGGAAGTTGACTTCCACCCCCTCTTCATCTGCAAGAAGATCTCGCCCATCCTGACCAAGATTGCCGCTGATGCCGAGATGGAGAAGTATATCCAACCCCTCCAGCAGGTCATCCTGACCCGTCTGTTCCAGCAGCTGTCTCAGGTCTACGAAACTGTGGACCTCAACTTTGTTGAGAGCTTGGCTCAGTTCCCCGAGCCTTACCAGGTTACTCGTGGCACTATTGAAAAGTTCATCATGAACGGAAACAAGAAGGGTGATCTTGCTATCCGCATGGACCATGCCACCGGTGTTCTCAGCTTTGACAACGACGTCTTCTCATCTGCCAAGGCCGGCCACAGCGGATCTTCCGCTGGCTCTGCCGAGGCGGAGACTGGCAACGTTCAGCGTCTCCAGAGCACTCCCTCTGAGATTGTCCGCTCCCAGTTGACTCGTCTTGCCAAGTCGCTCTTCGTTTCGTGCCACTACATCGATCCCAACTTCAACAAGGATCGCCTGGCGGCCCATGACGCTGCATTGGCTCGTGCAAAGGCTGGCGCAGAGAAGGAGCACCTCGATACCCTTGCTCGTAAGGAGGTTATTCAGAAGCGCAAGGAGGAGGCATCCGAACTCCAGGCTAAGAAGGAGAAGGAGAACGCCCGACAGAAGAGACTGCGGGAGCAAGCTCTGCAAGAGGCCGAAGACAAGCGCCTGGCTGAGGAGCAGCGTGAGCGTGAGGCCCGACGTATCAAGGCTGAGCACGACCGTGTTCGCAAGGAGGAGATCAAGAAGCAGATCGCAGACCTGAAGATGAGCGACAAGGCTCTCGACATTGATTTGGAAGACTTGGACAACCTGGATAGCAACAGACTTCGTGCCATGAAGCTAGCTCAGTTGGAACGGGAGAAGAACGATGTCAACGAGAAGCTTCGCATAACTGGCAAGCGACTCGATCACTTGGAGCGAGCCTACCGAAAGGAGGAGGCCAAGAAGCTTGCCGATGATTACGCCAAGCAGACAGAGCGTGATCGCAAGATTTACGAAACAGTCAAGGCCAAGACACTCCAGGAATCTGAGGAGAAGCACAAGGAGAGTGTGGAGCTCAAGCACCGCCTTAGCCGCCTGGTGGGCGTTTACGAGACATTCAGAGCGACGCTGCACGAGAAGCGTCGTGATGAGTTTGAGAAGCGCCGCAGGGATGCCGAGCGCGAGCTGGAGAAGCAGATTGCCATCCGCAAGAAGGAATACCGCGACCGAAAGCTTCGCGAGAAGAGAGAACGGGAAGAGAGAGAGCGTATCCTCCAAGAACAAGAGGAGCAGGCCGCTCGTGAGAAGGAAGAGCAACGCCTTCGTGAGGAGGCCAGGAAGGCCGAACTCGCCAAGCTCAAGGAGCAGCGTGAGAAGGAACGCCAGGAAATGTTGGAGAAGGCAGCACTCCAGCAGAGACGCGAGGAAGAAGCCCTTGCTCGCCGCAAAGCGGAGAGAGAAAAGGGAGGCCTCAGGGGACCAGAGGCTCCCCCTGCTGCTGCTGCTGCTGCTGCTGCCGCCGATGGCCGACGACCACCAGTCATCGGCTCAGGCAGCTGGAGAGACAGAGAGCGTGAGAAGGAGGCAGCCAGAGCTACAGAGGGCGGAGCACCAGCACGGACAGGAGCCCCGATGGAGCGCACCGACTCTGGCGATCGCCCCAGTGAACGCTCATCCGGCGGCCCCCCAAGACTGCAGTTGGCCGGCTCTGGCAACAGGCCAAGCTGGAGAGACCGACAAGCCAAGGAGTCTGCTGGCGGAGCGAGCGACAACCTCCCCCCGCCTGCCAGAGGCCCTGGACCCCGCGACTCTCCTCGCGACTCTCCTCGCGACTCTCCTCGTGATTCTCCTCG